GAAATTTCCCCCAAAACTTTCTCTTTGTTACATTTCTATGTTTTTTTCCAGCTGACACCTCACCTGAGAAATGTGGAAGGACCAACCTGCCAGCTGGGCTGTTCCTTTGTGGACCCATGCAGCCGTATTCATCAACCTCCAATTATTCCTGATTTGTTTGAATAACGAACTGCACTTGGAGCCAGGATGGATCCGGGTGTTCTTCCCAAGTCTTCCACAATTCTTCTGGGCGACTTTTGGCAAATTTCTCTTAAAAAAGCAAAGCCTCCAGTTTCTGCTGCCTGCGATGCCAGGCCTTGCAGTTGGGACCTGGGCGAGAGCGGCTGAGCAGGAGCCAGCAGCGAGCCCGGGTGGCCGAGAAGGCCGAGGGCCTCCTGGCCGGTGTCAGGAACAGCGGAGCCAGCGGGACCAGGGCAGGGATCGTCCCCCTTTTATTCCTTCTGTTTATGGAGTTTTTAGGCTTCTGAGATCTCCGAATTGTCCCATTTTTGCTCCAAACCTTCGTCTACCACGTCTGCTTGAAGATAACTACCTAGGCTTAAGCGTAGGCTTGACTGTGCTTTTCTTCAGGTCATGTAATTATTGATTTTCCTACTTAGGAAAACTGTTGGCACAAAATAGCCGTGACGACTCCATTTCCAACATCTCATTTGTAGAGAAGTTCCCTGAGAACGGATGTGACAGCAGCTTCAGTGGCTTTGGGATCTCATAGGTCTGGTTTGCAGGGAGGAGGAGATGGTTAATGGGAAGAAATGCGAGCAATTTTGTTGATTTTTGCTGATTTTGTTCCTATTGCTCTGTCAAGTCTTTATTCTTTCCTTCGCAAACACAATGAAAGCAGAGGACTCTGGTGGTCCCCAATTTAATGTCCCCCCAAATCTTTACTGTTTATATTGATCTAATAGCCTCTGCATTGCTATACAATGCTCAGATACATGAGAATATACGTGCCTGGTTATACCCTGGATAGATGATGCCCAAGGACATGGAGGAGACACTTAGGGACACGGTTTAGCAGGGGTGGAGATGATGGGTTTAGAGCTGGACTCGATGACCTTGAAGGTCTTTTCCAACCGTAATGATCCTGTGATACCCACAACTGTGAGCTCCTCCCTGTCTCCCTCGCCACAGGAGCATTCCCATGGACAGGAGCCTCCAAACCTGCTGTGTCGCCGCTGTTCCTCGTGGCGACGTGAGGAACGGGAGCGTTTCATGGGATGTTTCATGGGATGGGCCGGGGCGTCAGCTCTTCTGCTTGTGTTTAGGTTGACACAGAACGTCGTGATGTTCCCCAAGTTCCTGATATTTTATACAACGTGCGCCCTGAACCTCGCGCATGGAGCGGGAATCAGGATGCCTGGATTTACGCACCCTGACGTCTGCTGAGCCAGCTAATGTCACCTGCACGTCCCTTGTTGCAAGCATCCTACAACAGGTCCTTTAAGGAGAGCTAAGGGCAGGAGCAGCACAGCTTTGGGGTGCTCCACGGAGCGCCTGCGCGGTAGGAGGGGAAGCACCAGGGCAGATGGAGCCTGGCGTTGCCGGCAGAACAGCTCTGGTGCTTGACCCATGGCACCACGGGGTGCCAATGTCACCTGAACGCTTCCCCCATGGATCTGCTTTTCCTCAGTGCTTCTCCTCCCAGACTGATTGGATCCACTTGTGCTATGAAAACTCACCGTAACAGAACGGAACAGGTTTTGGAGCAAAGTTACAAGCCGTTCTTGGCACACTTCATGGTCTGCTGGGTGTGCAGGTAGCTGCGTTCAGTTGTGAGCAGCCGGGGAGCCGCGTTGTTCTATTCCTTCTGTTGCCAGCGTGCCTGGGGGTCACGTCCTGCCTTCCTGGTGGCTTTTCCTTCCTCCAGCACCAGCCATCAGCCCTTAGGAGCTCATTGAAGCTCCCCAGGGTCCATCTGGGAGACAGTTGTGCCCATCCCAAAGGAACTGGTGGGATTTACCAGCCGCCTCCAAGATGCCAGAGGAGCCCTCGGCCAAACGCCAAGGAGGAAGGGGACATGCAGCATCCAGGGCCGAGGACAAGCAGAGGTGGCCGCCAGGACCCGCGTCCCGCCGTGCCACCCGGCCCTCGTGCCGTGGGAACGCTCGGCCAGCCCTTCTGCAGCTTCTCGTCCTCTAATTTACTTCCTTGGAAGAAAATTCGCAGTCAGGGATATAGACTTCTGCTTTTTAACCTCAGGCTTCCTTGAAATTCTCTCATATTTCAGCCTTGCCCTCCCCCTTGCTCGGCCATATGTTAAGACGTGAGTTTTAGTTTTTCCCAAAGGATTATCTACTCATCTGGCCTTTTTATACACAGACTTTTCAAGACATTTTCAAAATATTCTCACATGTTAAAGAGAAGCCATTTTATATCCTTCTAACTGGATTCCACTCGGCCTATTTTGAGATCTCCATAAAAGCCCCACAAACCCATCCACAAGACGAGGCACTTCCCATTCCGAGCGCACATTCCCAATTTCCCAGCAGCTCTGATGGGGGGATTCCCAACTGCCCGGATAGGCAGCGTTTCTGCCGGGATGAGCAGAGCGGGAATGAGGTGTCCTCCATAGCTGGGCCAGGGAGCATCTCGGAAGGGAAAGCCAGTTATTAAATTCCATCTTTTAAAGGGGAAGTTTTGATAAAACAGGGCTGAGTTGCCCTGAAGGAAACTCTTTTAACTCCACTGCTCTTGTCTGGATGGTTCCGTCGTGCTGCTGAGCTCAAGCACAGGATGATTTTGTTATGGTTATGTGAGGAAATCCAGCGCCGTCTTGACAGCGTTCCAGTTCATTGCAGGTCCATTCCCTGGAATGTGTGAACTGGCTTCCAGAAATGGTCTGGACGGAGAAAGGCTTCACGGTTTGAAGTGAAAAAGAGAGAATTCAGAAAACAGAAATCCCTCAACCAGATGTTGGTACTTAGGTTTTTTCTTTGCCTTTATCACAGTGAGCAGGGGTTTAGCTGGAAATATGAGGACACCCGTATTTATAGAACTGGAATGAGCCTATGGAAATGTCTCATAATGATGCTAAAACCATACTGCACATGATGAATAATATCAATTTTCCTATTAAAAGAGTCCTAGGAAAGAAGCATTGTAATAAAATCAAGAATTACCCTTAAATCAAATAGTAGGCAGATGTAGGTGAACTGCTATGGGATAATGGAAAATGTGTCCTCGTGCAAAATTTGTTACTTAAAATACATTAGCTAAAATGTAATTCTGCAAAAATCCACGCTGTGTTTTCTGCATCCTGTGGGCTGCAGGCGCTGCCCCTCTCTGCTCCGGCCCTTAACTCCTCATGGAAGGGCAGAGGCTCTGGAGGAGGGCAGGGAGCTGGGCACGGGCTGGAGCACATCCCGACGTCTGCTTTGGGAACACGGGAATGGTGCCCGGGCTGTCCCGGAGGTGTCCGGTGTGCGGGGTGGCAGCTGGATCCCCAGGAAGGCCTTTGCAGACAGACTCTTCCTGATATTCCATCAAGAAGCGAGCGGGGAGATGCTCTTATTGAGCTATTTTTAATAGACTCTGCACCACCAAATTAACCTTGTGAGCATTCCGCAACGCATCGCTTCTGTCAGCCTAATGATTTCCAGTGTGTTGTAATTGCATTTCTGCTTTTTTTTTTTTTAACGTAATGAGTTTCCTTTCCAAAATAGCCCTGTCAGTAAATGTCATCCGACCACATCATTTCTCGGT